AAAAAAAAAAAAAAAAAAACACTTGCTGCCATAATGCACACAGGAGCACTATAAACTACTTCTACTTAATGCTTCTCCACCTCAAGTTGTACTGTTGTTGTGATGGGCTGTCGAGTTGGACCCAACTCATAGCACCCCCTCCTTGGATTTCCAAGGCAGTATCACTACGGAAGTAGATTGCCCAACCTTCCTTTCCAGGAGTGGCTAGTGGGTTTGAACCACCAGTCTTCTGGTTAGCAGTCAAATGCCTTAGGCACTATGCTATCAGAGCTCCTAATTACTTCTTCATAGCAATAATTCTCAAGTTTTCACTCAATGAAAAAAACTCATTTCTTTCCACTCCTAACAGAGTATGAATTTCTTGTACTACAACACCTGAAATGAAGAATCATGCAAACAATCAAGGTTAGGATCAACTTTTAACATTAACAAAATCAAATCACTCTGTTACTGTAAAGTCCAGAACAATAATATTTTAAAGTATGCCTTAAATTGAGCAAGGATATTACTAATTGTTATCAGTTTGCCTCAAACTTAAATTCAAGCATAATTTCCAACCTTTATTATTCTTTTTCAAAAAATATAATTTCTTCTGATATATTTCACAATGTAGGTCAAAAACTGGAAACTATCTCATTTTATAATGGGTAAAAAAAGGTCAGTGTTTTAATGTGGGTTTGTTCATGACTCCAAAGACTACACGCAGTCTTGAATGTCCTATGTCAAAGCTTAAACATAAACTGTCTTTTAAATGTGATCACTGAAAGGGGTGAGTCAAGGTTTAAAAAAACAAAAAAAAAAAAAACGTGTATCTGATTCTAAGGGTCCAAACAATTTCTCTGTGGTAAATGTCAGATTTTAAGACAAACTGGTTGGGCTGTCAGGTTCCAAGGGCTAGATCTTGGGCAATGGGGGCAGGCAGCAGACAGAATTTGTTGGCACAAGGCACACTTCAGATAAGAATCTGAAGTGCACCAACTCCAATGCGGCATGAAACACATGGGACTGGAAGTGACAACAGAAACAGAAATTCATGCAAAAAGCATTGCTGCAAACATTGACAGATAAAGATTTCACAGAACACAGAAGCTCCTGGGGATGCACCAGCTGCTTCTGAACCATGAACGTTTTCCCACATTTCTTACAGGGTCACAGGCTGGTATCTTTGCTAGTACTTCCTTCTTTGGGGGTTATGCTGGTTTAAAGCACCTCTGCCTCTGTCTCTTCTATGTAATCCTCTCTGATACAGAAGACTGAGGTCTTTTGCCAGGCAAGAGTAATCTTGAGAATCAAAGCTAATTTATTCAGAAGGATCACTGACCCCATTGTCCTCTTTTGCTGGCATCATGTGGTTGACTTTTTCATTCAAAACAGCATGTGAACTAGAGGCTGGGGACAGGTTCTTTACATGCCATGCTGTGTCTGACAGTGTGTCCACACTTTAAAGTTTGTGTGAAATCTCTTGTGACAGATGTCACAAGCATAGGGCTTTTCAGGGTTATGGTATATGTTAACATGACGGTGAAGACCCACTGTTGATCTAAAGATCTTAAAGCAATGTTTGCATATAAATTTTTTATTTGATTTTATGCCTTCCAACTCACCAAATTCATCTGTATTTAAGTCGGAATCTGGAAAGTCTGCCTGAAGGAGAATAGGTCTCGAGTCTTCCTCACAGTTCTCTTCTGATACAGAAGATCCACGTTTATTTACCTTTAATTTCTTCAATAGCAACCTTTTTTCAGCCTGGAACCTCCTCTTGGCTGGGTGTCTGCTCATTTCTGTTGAGTCGTTTTCTGTTGTCAGTGAAAAATCTTTTCTGGCTGCCACTGTTGCTACTGACACATCTCCCACGGTAATTCTCATGATATCTGAAGGGCCTGAGAGTGGGCTGCTGGGCTCCATTTTTATATGAAACTCTGTGATAGGGGAGGCAGCTTCCCTGTCTGTGGACTGAGAAGCACTGAAGTTCACATGGGACTGGAAGTGACTCCAGAGTAGGAAATTCGTGCTAAAAGCTTTGTTACAAACATGACAGATGATAGGTTTCACGGAACACAGAAGCTCCTGGTGACATTCTAACTGCTTTTGTACTGTGAACACTTTCCCACATTTCTCACAGGTGCACAGGCCAGTACTTGTTTCTTTGGGGGCTACACTGGTCTCAGTCACCTCTTCTTCTGCCTCTTCCATGGGCTCCTCTTTGATCTGGATTTTAAATTGCTTAGAAAGACTGAGGTTTTCAGTGAGGCAAGAGAAATCTTCACAATCAAATTTAATTTGTTCAGAAGAATCGCTAACCACATTGTCCTCTTTTACTGTGATCATGTGGTTGACTTGTTCATCCAAGACAGCATGTGAACTAGAGGCTGGGGACGGGTTCTTCACTATGCCATGCTGTGTCTGACAGTGTGTCCAAACTTTAAAGTTTGTGTGAAACCTCTTGTGACAGATGTCACAAGCATAGGGCTGTTTAGGGTTATGATATATGTTAATATGACGGTGAAAAACTGCTGTTGATCTAAAGATCTTAAGGCAATGGTTGCATTTAAATTTTCTGTTTGGTCTCGTTCCCTCCAACTCACCAAATTCATTTTTATTCAAGTCAGAATTTGGAAAGTCAGCCTCGAGGAGGGCAGGACTCGAGCCTTCTTCACAGTTACCTTCTGACACAGGAGATCTGTGCTCATTTACCTTTAGCTCCTTGAATGGCAACCTTCTGTCAGCCTGGAATTTACACTTGCCTGGGGGTCTGCTCATTTCCCGTGGGTCATCTTCTGTTTTCCGAGAGAACTCTTTTGTGACTGACAGTGAGGATGCTGCCATTGCCGCTGTAGCATTCCCCACAGTGACTCTCATGATGTCTAAAGGGTCTGAGAACAGGCTGCTAGGCTCCACTCTTATGCAGACCTCCTCATCAGGAATGGCAACCTCCCTGTCTATGGATTGAGAAGCACTGAAGGACCTAAGGCGATGTGGTGATAGTTCTGGAGTCCAGTCATCCAGGGCCACTTTCTCACTATCACCTTTTAAAGATGACTTTTTGGGTAAACCACAAAGCGCATTCCTTGGCACATCATTAGAAAGGAAAAATGATCCCTGGGAAGATTTCAAATCTATCAAAGGTGAATATATAGGAACTCAGCTATCCAATGACAGTGACCGTCTGAGGAAACTCTTGACAAGTGGGCCACTTCGGCCAATGTTTTGGTATCTAGAACTAGGCTCACTAGATGGAACCATTAATCCCAATTTTGAGTAATATAGTAAATTTCTTTCTTTGCTTTGACTACCTCCTGTGTCAGTCTCTTTCAAGAGATTAGAAGCCTCTGATGACCCACACAGAGACAAAATAGGTAGTTGTGGTTTTCTCAAAGTCAGCTCTATGGCTTTTCCTTTTGGAAGCTGACCACTCATATCCGGTTTATCATCTGCAGCTTCTCTGTTTTGCAGAGGTTCTGACGGCAATACTGTATTTCTTTTCACCAAACTGCTTCCACTGGGATCATCCAAAGAGCCGGAATGCTCAAGAAACTTTGTGTATCCCACAGAACTATGTCTTGGCCAACTCTTCTCACTGAGTGGCAAACTGTGAAGTGGACCAGTCAATTTTGGGATATGTGGCTTACTGGTACTGGTCTCTCTGGCAATGGCAGGTGAGGGCCTGGAAGCATGGCTTACATCAGGTAGGTTTTGACTAACAGTTTTTCTTTGTGCTTCTTTTTTACTCTGACAGACAATGACACTTCTCTTTTGGGAATTGTTTTCATTATCTTCTATGAAACCTTTTTTTCTACTGAGACAAGTCAGGAAGGGGGCTTGAGGTATCTTAGAAACAATGTTAGTCAAGAATGAAATCCCCAGACTATAGCCAAGCTCTTGCACTGCAGTCAGGCTACTCTTTTCAACAAACAAAGATGAAGAATAGATGTAGTTTAAAACACCGTCAAAAGCGTCTGGTTCACAAAAGTCAAGATGAAATACAGTCTGTGACACGTTCTCATTTGTGAATAAACTGTGGAAGTATTCACTGCTGGCAGCCAAGACGTTTTTATGAGCTCGAAATTTCTGGTCTCCAACGATCAGAAGCACATCACAGAGCTGTCCTTTGAGGCGCTCCTCGTTGAGAGCACTCAGGAGAGAAATGGCATGTGTTGGGTTTATGTAATGCAGTAACCCCTCCATTGTTTGGGTTTATCTGAAAGACAAACGTACAACTATTATAAATAATGCAATGACAAGTCCTCCAGGAAATTAGGGGCCCCTCAAGGGCAGGGAACACCACTTTTCTTTACATAGGTGCCCATATTTAGCAAACTACTAAGCAGACAGGTTTCTGAGTAAACAATCCTATGTAAGTAACACTGAGAAGTCTCATGGCTTAAGGCCATCAATCATTAAAATCAAAGAATTATAGGAACTAAAGACTCTAATATGGCAATTTCATACCATCAAAAAGGCTGCTAAAACTTGGCAGTTATGAAGGAAAGCAAAGTATTTCAAAATAAAAGATTTACTATTATCTATTTGATGCTTGGCTGTATTCCTTATCGATTCAGAGTAAAAATTCAGAGAATTATCAAAACTCCTAATGTCTGTAATTCTGACCAAAATCAGTTGTATTACTGTATATGCTTATATCATAACAACCAAACCCATGGTCACAGAGTCAATTGCACTTCACAACAACTCTATAGGACTGAGTAGAACTGTCCCATAGGGTTTCTAAGGCTGTAAATCTTAAAGAAGCAGACTGCCTCATCTTTCTACCCAACAGCAGCTGGTAGGTTCAAACTGCAGACCTTTTCATTAACAGCCAAATGCTTTGACCCCTGCATCACCAGACAGCCCCTCAAGGGCAGGGAATACCTAAGTCTCTCTTTAAATCAAGTTTGTAGATAAGTCAGAAAAGTTAGGTACAGTGTATCTAACATCACTCAGTCAAATGTTTGTCTTAATACATAGTATATAGTATACCTTTCTATGCATAAAAAACATTAGTGAAACACTTCCAGATACACTAAAAATCTTCAATAGAATAACAATAACGTATCTTTGTAGGTCGAAAAGTAGTGCCCATTTGTTATTACAAAAAACTGTATGTACCTTGAATTTTCAATATAATAGGCTTTACGAGGGTCAGGTTGTATGGGATGGGTTGTATGTAAACCAGACATTCATAATCCATGGACTTCCTGTATTTAATTCAGTGTCAAAGAGAAAGGGTAAATATTAACCTCACTATGCACTGAATGAAGATAAAGCTCTTTCATATATTCTATATTTGACCCCTCTTAGGCTTCTCTACCGAAAATGTCCAGAACTTCTGTCCCTGCCACATATCTTTGGTTTGACCACAAAATATTGTTGTGACATTTGTTTTTAATGTTACAAACGACTCACATATCTAAAAACATCTGTAACTATGTGATCGTTCCCTCAAGAGCAAACTTTAGATGAGCTCGGCACCCAGCACATTTGTAGGTTCTCTTCCAGGTCAAGGGTGAACTTTTCAGGAGTCCAGATAGAAGATCCTGTTGACCACCATTGTAGCATAACCAAGACGGTAGAAAATATCTTCAGTATTATTCTGACTTCCTGTTAAGATGCTGACTCTTAAGTTTAACCAACTTGGAGGTGTGACTTTATGTCTCAGGATGAGGCTTTTTGGTCTGTCCACAATTGTCTTAGTCAAACTGCACCAAATTTTTCTTTATTCCTGCCTAGCATTTCATATAAAATGCTAAATTTTAATACTTCTATTTGGATTTTTTTTCTGACTTTATTTATAGTTTTAAACTTTCAGTTCATACACTGAGAATGTTTCATGACATTGATTACAATCCCCATAATATAACAGCTCTCTTCCCACTTCTTTCCTATGGTTATCTTTTCCTTGTGTCCTCCTTTCCTATTCACTCTGGCCCTCTGAGATATCTTCCTGTGCAAACACTGCCCTTCTGATCTCTCATGGTTGACTGTTCTAAGGAGTGTACCTGCCTAATGTTTACATTACATACCTATTATTTAGCCAGAATCCACAAGAGTGAGTTCAATTCCAAGCCCAACGGATGACTAGGAGCCATAGTCTCGGGGATTTTACCAATCTCTATCAGACCAGTAAGCTTGGCCTCTTTTATGATTTTGAGTTTTGTTCCACATTTTTCTCCCACTCTATCCAGGATCTCCTACAATGATCCCTTTCTGAATGGTTGACAGTGGTAGTAAGGCACCATCTAGTTCTTCTGGTCTCATGGTCACGTAGACTGAGGTTCATATGGTCCATTAATCCCTTGGACTAATTGTTTCCATGCTTCTTTGGTTTTGTTCTTTCTTCTTTGCTCCAGACAAGGAGTGGCAAATTGTTGCATCTTAGATGGTTGCTTGCAAGCTTTTAAGACCCCAGTTGCTACTCACTCAAGTAGGATGTACAATAATGTTTTTATGTAGTACTGCTTGAACAGTTTCTCTCAGAAAGATCAGCACAAGGCCGGTCCCTATGAGGCAGAGGTTAAAGATGCCCCAAATGTCCAAACTACTGTGCCATTCCATCATTTCAGACATTAACTCCTCCTCCTCTTCCCACTAATTTCCCCCATCTTAGGGTTCTGTCTTTATCTGTAACACCTCACAGAACTCACAGACATCCAAGGGATCATCTCACATAGTAGCGGTGGAGGCTGGCAGGCTGGCGAGTCCCAGGTCCATGAGTGTGTCTGGAAGATCCTCCCAATTCTTGGGGTTTGATGAAACTCGATCAGCAGATCAGATGACAGCTGCTGTCCCAAATCCAAGGGTGAGATGAGGATGAGCCACAACACAGAACTGGAGCAATAGGAGGGCAAACCTTCCCAAGAGATTTGTAGATATACCCTCAAGGAAGCTAAGGGTGGTGATTTGAATTATACCCTCCAGCAAGGCAGGACTCAAGATACATTCCACCTGTGTTGGTCCAACAGCAATAACCCAAGTGGATGGCTTTAACAATCAGCAGCTCAAGGCAAATCCCACCACAGAGCCCATTGCCAGTCATAGGGAATGACTACTACCAGCTTCCCAACCAAGTTGATACCTGACCTTAACTACCACACTACCCCAAACAGGAATGGATAATAGGATTTACAATACATCACAGAATGGAGGACAATGGCTAGAAGGGCCATATCAAGCAATTCACTGCAAGTACGTTATGCCAATTGAGTTTGATATCCCCCACAATCATGATGCAGTGCCCACGGTCACAACAACTTGATTAGTGATTTCTTGATAAACATATTTTCCTTCCTTTTCTCTCACTTAACCATCCTAATTTTTCCATTAATCCTATTACTCCTCTGACATAATCACACATCCATTTACGTCTAAAGAGGCACTTATCTTTCACAGAGGACAGCAGAAAAAAATAATAATAATAAGCTTATAATGTCACATGTAGGGACTCAGCCTACACTGAGCACTTTTCTAGCACTAATCACTTTTTAGAAAGCCAGTTCAGCGGTTGCCACAGGGAAAAGCAACAGACACAGAATCAAAGGTTTGGAAAAGTATTTTTCAAAAGCAGTTCTTAAAATCAACTTAGTGGTTTGAAACTAGCAATTAAAAAAATAAATAAAATGGACTAGGATGGAATTGATGCCAGAGTGCATCATGTGTAAGGTTAATTAAGGTTCTGTGAAACTTTTGTTTCAATTATATGTATTCATGCATACACATAAGTGTGTACCAGGATAGAATGTAAAATAAATTACATTCCTTGCTGTGGATCAAAGTCAAAACAGTTAGAAAACTAGTGCTCTAGGCTGATTCACTTATCTGGCTACCTCAGTTTTCCCAACTGTAAAATAGGGATAATAGCTGCTACCATACAATGCTATTGTGAGAATCAAATAATAGTAATTGCTACCATTTACTAGGGAGCTCTGGTAGCATAGTGGCTAAGGCACTTGCCTGCTAACCAGACGGCTGGCAGTTCAAACCCACCAGCCACTCCTCGGAAGGAAGGTTGGACAATCCTACTTTTGTAGTGATACTGCCTTGGAAACCCAAGGAGGGGTCGCTATGAGTCGGGTTTGACTCGATGGCACATAACAACAACAACAACAACCATTTACTGAGCACTTATAATACACTACAAACTGTACAAGGTACTTTTCATGCTATTCATTCATTCAACAAAATGGCATTTCAGAAGACTTGGAGGTGAGAAAAGGGCCTCTGGGTAACTAGGGGAAGAGTGTGACAAGTAGAGGGAAGAATTAGGTAGCAGTAGGGCTGGAGTAGAGAGCACTGAAGGATAGACATGGACGATGACAACAGAGAAGCAATGAAGAGCCAGACTGTGTAGTGCAGGGCTGGGTGAACCACCGGAAGAACTTTACTCTGTACTCTTAAGTGAAATGGGCAGCCACTGGAAGCTTTTAAGCAGATGCATGACAGTGACCTGAAGTATATTTTAAAAGCATCACTTTGACAATGCTTTTGAGAACCACGGTGGGTAGGGCAAGGCTAAAGCCTGGCAGAGCACCAAGGTGTCTCCTACAACAATCCAGGTGAGAGATGATACTGCCTTGGACCAGGATGGTAGCAATGAGGGTCAAAGGAGAGTCACATCAGGATTTTATTGGATTGATTGTAGGGTCTAAGAGAAAGAGAGGAGTTAATGAAGACTCCAAGGATTTTGACTGAACAACTGGAAGAATAGAATTGTCCTTGAGATGGAATTTAATAAAAATAGGTCAGTTTTTTTGTTTTGTTTTGTTATTTAAGGAGTTTTGATATTCTAAGTATGAGCAGCAAGCAACCTGTTCATTAACGTGCCTGTACCCAGGTGCCTTCCCTGTCTTAACTTTCTCTACTCACTTTCATGTGCTTCCAGAGATCACTTCTCAAGTGACCTGTCTGAATCCTCAGGATTTAAAGGAATCTGAAACTACAGGTATAGGATAAGGTTCCAAATGAACAGGAAAGCAAATGAGATTTTTCTGGACTTCTAGATATGAAGTAAATGCTATTCCATGCACCACCTGTACCCTACTGCTAAACAGCAACATTTTCTCATTTCTCTTTGACAGAAAGGTTTCCTTCTTTACACACCATTCAAATTAGTATAATGCCTATTTTTTACAATTTATTTTTGTTGTTCTTTTAGAGAATGTACATAGCAGAACATACAATTCAACAATTTCTAC